ATATATATATTTATATTTATATAAAAGAGAACCACGGTAGCCACCATTAGCGACAGAAGATATAAATAATAATATACGAAAACCCCGCCCCTTGATCAGACCAAGCCCCATCCGACCATCGCAGGCAACTTCAGACCTCAGCCACATGTCGTGGCAGAGCTCCGATCGTGATTCCACGAGGGCTTGGGAAGAGGACCAATGGTCTTGGAATTCTTGGGGCCAGGGGTGGGATTCTTGGTCATGGGGTGCTACTACGTCTTGGCAGTGGGATGGTGATTGGAGCTCTTCAGGGGCTCATGGTTATTATTCTGCTGATGAGAAAGGCCCTCTAGCTGATGAGAGTGCAAAGGTGCAGCAGATCCTGAAAAGGGGTCACACAGTTGATCAGCTTTCTACTGCAGACCTGCAACTTGTAGTGAAGCATATCGACAACTTGCAGCAGCAGCAGCAGCAGCAGCAAGCAGAGCAGAAGCAGCAGCGAGCAGAGCAGAAGCAGCAGCGAGCAGAGCAAAAGCCAGCTGCAGATGCAGCTTCAACGAAGCTTGGGAAAGAAGAAGCAGGTGCTGAGGCTGACAAGGAGGATGGTGAGCTGAAAGAATCGGAGAAGCCTAAAGAAACAAAGGAGGACAGGAGGAAGAGACTCCATGCCCGCAATATGAGATACTATCGCTCACTGGAAAGCCACTTGATTGCAAATTATGGGTAATTCTCACCATTCAGATGATCAGCTCTGTGATTCATGACAAGATATTTCGATTCAAGGCCCCAACACTCCGCGCGAGATCAAAAAAATGGCTGCAAAGGCAAAGAGCAGCGCCGATGCCCGATCTGTGATGTTCGAGGATTGGCTGCAGAGCGGAGAAAATTGGAAAAGCTCAAAGCTTTTAGCACGCCTCAAGAGTAAATCCAGCTCGGCACGCAAGGGCCTGAGGAAGTGGCTCTTCTGGAGCGAAATGGTCACGCGATTCGGAAAAGATGTCGCACAGGCACTTAAGGAAACCAAGGAGGCGGACCCCGAACGCAGTTTGACAGAGGTTCGCAAATGGCCGGAGTGCGAGGTGCTTGGATGCAAATTTATAATAAAATAGTGATTTATACTGTTATATATTTTTGTTAATATAATAACAATAACTTATACCCTAAATCCTAAACCCTAAACCCCTAAACCCTAAATGCGAGAGGGAAAAAACCCTAAACACACACTAAACCCCAAACCCCTAAACCCCCCTGCTGCAGGACTTCGTCCAGTACCTCTGCCTTGTGGACTCGACAGAGGAAGACTGCGATGAAGAGGAGTTTGAGCAGATCTTGGAAGCCCAGGTGAGTGACTCGAGCGACACATCGGACGACTCCGGGCACAAGAAGAAGAAGAAGAAAGGAACCAAAAACAAGAAAGCAAAGAAGGACAAGCAGTCGAGCCCCAGCCCCAAAAAACCGAAGCCTAAGGCAAAAGGGAAGGCAAAGGCCAAAGGCAAAGCAAAGGTGGGGTCTTGCTTGTGTGCTCCGAAGTAATTGACTGGATTAGTTCGTACTATAGATCTAACTTACATTTTGCAGTAGCCCTGAACCTCTACCAACAAATCAGTATAAACTGTACAAACAGTTGCAAATTCTCAATTTAAGTGTATCCTCCTGCAACCAAGTATAAACCACAACCCATGAAACCCATAATACCAAACAATCCCTAAATTAAAATCAAGCCTACCAGCCTAGCCCATTATAAGCTGTCCCTTCTTCTGCAGGCCATGAGTCCAGAGGAGGCTGAAATCCAGAAGGCCCAGCAGGAGAGAAAGACGAAAGCCAACAAGGCATCAGATGTGTGTTATTGCATGTCTGTGTGTTCTAACAATTTGCAATAATTCCTGGAATGTTGTGGCCTGCTCTTTTTCGCAAGGCCCTCACGAGAGCAACAGAGAAGATCAAGGTCAGTACAAAGATTGAGCAGGAGGGCAGTGTCGAGGGGATGTCAGTTCCTTATCATGATCCAACACCGTATCATAACGACAGCTAGATCTTGTATGACTTGCACCATGTTGAATCAACTGAGGGGTGACCACCTGCTCCAAGCCATGAAGAATGACATCAAAGCCCAGGCTACTTACTTGCAATTGGGCTTCGGTGGCAAAAGCCGATCGCGACTGCGCCAGGCGCAGAAAGTGCAAGAAGCCCGTGGCCAGCTGCAGGGCGCGGTGGATCGCGATGAGGCCGCAAATAGCCTTGGATCAATAGCTATTTAAATTAAGTGTAATCTGGGTTTATTTAGGGTTTAGGGTTTCGGGTTGAGGATACTATATGTGTGTATGTGTATCTATATATATATATAATTGTATATTTATATCGGCTTTATAATAATTTAAGGTTTAGGGTTTAGGGTTGAGGACAATATGTGTGTATATATCTATCTGTATATCTAGGCTCTATAATATGGGTTACTAGGTCCGAATTGTGCACCCAACTTGAAACCTATTTCCCAAAGCTGTATGCAAAGCTTGAACCCTACAGCCACGATTGGTTTATTATATGCTCTCAGGTCGGAGGCCCCAGTACAAGCCTGCATCGTGAACTGTGCTTCAAGTTCCCTCTGAAACCCCTTTATTATAATAAAGCTACACAAACCTTAAAAACCCTAGAACCCTTATAATACTAGTACTTAAAATAATGTGGACCTGCATCGAACCCCTTTAAACCCTAAAGCATTATAATACCTTCAAAACCCTAAAACACTAACTAATTAAAGTAATGTGGGATAGGTGCCGACAAACAGCCATGATGACCATTATCTAGCTTCGCTGATGATCAAATTAAATCAAACCCGGTTTTCCTAAATGCTGTCTATAGCCTAGACTTGTGCAGGTGGATGATCCCATGGACAACCTCATCAGCACCCTGAGCTCCATGTGTGAGACGTTCGACAAAATCCACAAGGATTTCCAGAGTCGGAAAAACAAGGATGCTAATCCTAAGAAGAAGGCCAAGAAGTGATCTGATATCTTCGATTCGTCATTTCAGACCAACATCTCACATATCTTGTGGTCCCTGTCATACTAGTACTGATGATGTAATGCTGTGGCCTTTCTGCAAAGCACCCGCGCGGGTGTGATGTTTTGACATGGGCCAGGGTAAACCTTGGCTGCTAAATTGCACATGTGCCTGCATACAGAACCGGCTCCGGAAGAACTGCATAGCTATGTAGTTGAAAGCTTCGGCATGCATGTGTGTGCATGTATATATGTAGTGTATGCATGTACAATGTACAACTCACCTGCTTTCCCAACTCCGAGGCCCTGATCAGTTCGAGTCGAAGTTGTAATTATGCCTGAAATCAATGCCAGCCTTTTTAAAAAGGGTTTTTGATTTATTATGGTTTCGGGTTCCGGAAGAGGGGTTATGGGACCATATACCCTAAACCCTAAACCCTAAACCTCTTTGCCATGTTCAGGTCTTCTCAATTCCTATGTCAAGGTTATCATCTAGTTATCTTTTTTGCTAATGATACTATAGCTACTTTTGCTTTTGGCATCATCACAGCCCAAAGCCCATAGACCCTCAAATGTGCCCTGAACCCTGCATGCCAAACTTTTTTCAATTTGAACCCTGGAAATTCCTAAACCCGTCTGAAATCCTAGACCCTGTAATTATAAACCCTACATACAATGCCAGGGCCCCCCCGAAAGTGCATTCCTAAACCCGTCTGAAATCCTAGACCCTGTAATTATAAACCCGCTACATACAATGCCAGGGCCCCCCCGAAAGTGCCGAGAGCCGGGGGCATGTGGGTGGCTGCAGAAGCTGTCGCACGTCCGAGGGCACACACACCTTGGCTAAGGTCCCTTTACGGTGGTCTCTGTGCCACACCTATGTACATAGTTGCCTGATCTAAACCGGTGTGTGTGGGGGATGGATGATCCTGCAGCATAGCTGCAGCTGCTCCTAGGCCCTGCTGTTGAGTGCCATGTGCCTTTTAGATGGGTCTCCAATAGGCCACTAGGGTGTTCATGATGTCGGCCATTCGATATGTCATGCCGGCTCGATCAGCAGTTGCTGCTGGTGAGAAAAGACCGATGATTGGTTCGCGCATGTGACTTCTGCTGCACAGGATAAGCCTAAAATGATTTTTAATTTGGTTGCAGTCGCCTTACAATCCCTTTGGGCAACCTTTTATTTATACTGTGTATATGTAGCTAGATAT